TAAAATGGATGGTGGGACCAAAAAAGTTTGACTGCTGGATAGACTGTCTTAATTATGTTATGAAATACAGTTAGTAGACTTATGTAGATGTATATCTGTGAAAATGATATTCTAGGGTTACAAAAGGTCTTCAAAGGCAGGACTGTTTTCAAATCAGTCACTTCTATTTGCACTTTCTACAGGAAGTCCCTGGTGAGTAGCAAAGAAGCTAATCTGCTGGGGCTTCCTTTTCTTTCCAGTTATTTCTGAATGTGCAGCCCCGACTGCTGCATTTGATGTCAAAATTAGCTTCTTACACTCTTCTATTTGACTTCTGGTGGATGTTTTAAATGGAAATTGATGGGATCATGGGGAGGAATAAAATGCTCTCCAGGTATATTGTTAATAGTACTCCGTACTGACATTTTTTAAGATGCCTTTTTTTAACACCAGTATCTTAAAAACAAAACACAAGTCTCCTTTGACTAACTTGCCATAAGTACTCCTTAAACCACTCAAATGGTCCAGACTCTTGCAGAGTGATATGAAATTACTCAGAGCCTTGGGTGGTGTGTTAACATTTTAGGAGATTTGATATTGTTTGACCATCTCATTTTTGAAGTTAAATTAAGACAGGAACATGACTCATTACAGATACTGAAATCTGAAATACTTTTTTCCTGGTGTCTTGGAACAAATAAAGATGAAGCAGGCCAAAACATTAATGCACAATAATCGACTACGTATGTCTGTAAACATGCTCTGTTAGGTTGCTATGAAACTCTTTATTCTTGGCAGACAAGAAGATGTCTTTGAGAGTGCCTTAAAGCTGTTGTCTCTTAGACAGAGGGTCAGTGGTAACTTGAACATTTGTGGGGTAGTCTTTGTTCTGAAAATCACAAAAATCAATCTTTTTCTATTTAAATAAAAATAGATCTGGGCAGGATGAAGTAGTTTTTTGAAAATTGAATCAGGTATTGCTTTTTTTCCTTAGTGTAGCAATTTCAGATTTTCCTTGTTAAAGAACACTTCTAGAGTGTTTATTCACTTCCTTAACATGCATCTAGTCTTACTCCAGAGTTGTTGGGATGGAGAGATGAGAATCATAGAATCATAGAATCAGCCGGGTTGGAAAGGACCTCCAGGATCATCAAGTCCAACCCTTGATCCACTACCACCATGGTTACTAGACCATGGCACTGAGTGCCACATCCAGTCTCATCTTAAAAACCTCCAGGGACGGAGAATCCACCACTTCCCTGGGCAGCCCATTCCAATGCCTGATTACCCTCTCAGTAAAGAATTTCTTCCTAATATCCAACCTAAACCTCCCCTGGCACAGCTTAAGACCATGCCCTCCTGTCTTACTGATACCTGCCTGGGAGAAGAGGTCAACCCCCACCTGGCTACAACCTCCTTTCAGCCAACTGTAGAGAGTGAGGAGGTCTCCCCTGAGCCTCCTCTTCTCCAGGCTGAACAACCCCAGTTCCCTCAGCCTCTCCTCACAGGACTTGTGCTCGAGTCCCTTCACCAGCCTTTTTGCTCTTCTCTGGACCTGCTCCAACACCTCAATATCCTTCCTGAAGAATCATCATCTTCTTTTTTAACATAGCCCTGTTTGCCATATTGCTTCCTTCACTACTTGGCAAATGGCACTGACCTGTTCAGGTGGCTGAAACCAGGGATGTTTATAGAGCTAGGCAGGTTAATTGAAATGGACACCAGCATAATGTCTTTCTTCAGAGGCTGATGCACCTGGCTCAGATAATGTAGAGGTACTGCTTTACCTGGAATGACAAGAGCTTGCAGTGTTTGTGCTAGCTTGTTTTGAGCTGTGTAGCTGACACAAATCATAGGAGAAGAGTACATTTTAGGAAATGTTTCTTCATTGGTAAGGAAATGAAATATGGAAAGACAACATATCTCTGGGTTATTTGTCTGCTTCAGTCATATTTCAGCTGAAATCTGACTCAACTGGTTTGCAAAAGATGATGTAAATGGCTGTTTATCAAAGTCACTTCCTTTTCACATTTAAAAAAAATGTGAAAAATAAAAAAACGTGAAATAAAATAGATAAAAATACATAGGCTTAATGCATTTAAATGTTAAGAGTTGAAATATTTTGTGTTAGTTTTTAGTAATGATTTTCGTACTACATCAATAAAAGTAGGAGGTTAAAGCTATACCATACAATTTTTAATATTCAGGTAAATAAAGTGAATTTGTTTTATCCTAATGATGTGTATATCTTTTTTCTTAAAAGGCTAGATTTTATAAAGAAAACCTTACCCCTTGAAACTCTACCCAAGCTTGTTTTCCCATCTAATGAACAGTAAAGTGCTTTAGGATTTGCTTTTAAGGGATCAGTATTATTGTTTTAATGGAACAGTCAAAACCATTCCTGAGTAATAAATCTCATTAATTGAATTCCCTCGCTCAATCTTTACTGTTTTAAGCCTTGGTACTTCAGAATTGTGCCTTTAGTCCTGAAAGTCCAAATTAGGTGCTTCAAGCTGATCACATTACAGCTGTCATGTTACATTTCACTTTTGCTTCATTAATTTTCACTTCATTTATTTCATCATACTCCATTGATGGCAGCATGTTGCCTCTAATTTAATATCTCAATGGTATTTCAGCAGTTTTAATAGGATGTATTTTATATTTTGAATTATAGAGTGACATACTCGTGTGGTAGAGCTAACACGCTTTTAAATTCGTTCACCTACCCCAAATTGATATTAAAGAACTAACTTTCAAGTGTGTAGCAATTACTATTTAAAAGCTCATTTTACAGGGTTGTTCAAATACGTTTCAATTTTTGTGTGATGATATAAAATTATTTGTGGAACCTGTGCATTAGGCTATTTCGGTGTACTCTGAAAAAATCTGTTAATAAAGAATACGGTTAGGTAAGCTATAAGTCTTGTATCAAAATATCCTGTAAGCAAGTGAAGTGGAATATATTAATCTGCCAGTGGACTTTTAAGAAGTAGGAAAGAAAATTACCATGTCTTCATAAAGTTAATAAATTTTTAAAATGAGATCTGTTTTAAATTAAAATTTTATATGCATCATTGAAAGAGAAGGGAAACAAGATGTCTTACTCATGGTACGCTAGATAAATAAAAAGGAGGGAAGATGTTTGCTAAGTGTTGGTAGTGTTACAAATGGATACGAATACAGGGACAGCTCCTGTGGTTGTATCTAAAGCAGGGCTTCCACACTATCACAATTGGCAATAAGGCCTGGGGCAACTACATGTTTGCATGGGGAGTTTATGTTCCTCTTTCTTTGACCATGATGCCTGTCAGGGGAGAGTGCACCAGAGGATGCTATGTAGGAATGGAGATTACAACTATCTCAGAAATGAGAACAATTTACACAGTATACAGTCTCTTTAGGTGAAAAAATAATCTTTCATTCTTTGTTTCCATGTCTTGTATGAAAAATTGTGGAGTGTCCTGCAATTGTGGTAGCTCTTTGTAGTTGGTGTTGGCTTGTGTAGCCTCACTGACACCACCAACATTGAAGTATCATTTGATGGCATGTTTTTTTTACTTGCTTTAAATGAATGGTGTCTTAGTCTTGTTCCTAGTGGAAGGGGAAAAAAAGAAAAGCAGAGGGGAGAGCCAAAAATTTATATATATAAAATATGTCCCCCCCAATAAACAAACAAAACCCCCAAAACAAATCAACCGTTGAAGTAGAAAACTGAAAACACCAGGTAAAGCACAAAGACAGGGTACAAGGAGTGACAATGCTGTGCAGGGTGATGTGTGAAGATGAAAGATTTGTACTTTAAAGATCTGTAAAACTTGCCTCCCTTTCGTGTATGGTAAATACAACCTTGGGCAATATCAATCTCCCTAATCATCCATTTCTGAAAACTTACGTTAGCTTTCCTTTTTCTAATTTAACTTACAGCTATTGAAATTAGGAATCTTCATAGTAACAACTTTCCGACTTATCGGTTTAGTCTCTTTTTTTTGGTTAGTTATTTCATGGTTAGTTATTGTTTAATTTATTTCATAGCCACTGCTGTGCACGTTTTTTTCCATCCAGTTTGAAGTCTTGGCATTTTCCTGCCTGATGGACTCTTATATAGTCTATTTCCCAACGTTCTAAAGGGAAGATTTAATAGCATATGGAGATTCTTCTGTTGTACTCCCTTGGCAGAAAAGTACTGCTGGCAAATATTGTAAACATGTCTTAGAGGATATTGTAGTGGTGTTTCATCTCTCTCCCACTCCTTTTTTATAATTTCATGAACTGAACAATTTTGTCTTTAACCATCTATTAGATTTATGCATATTTGGGATCTGAAATTACTGTAGCACAGAAATATGTCAGGCCTAATATAACCTTTTGCACTTCCACATGGAAGATACAAAATCAAATATTTTAGGTTTGCAACATTTTTTTCTCTTGCCTTGGAGACAAGGCAAATTCTTTAAATGTGGCTTTACCTTGGGAGAGAAGACTGATAAGAATGGGCACTGCTGATGGGGAGTGTGGCAGGAGGCAGTATGCTTTCATACAGACTTGTAGAACTGTGTGCCTTTGGGTAGGGGCAGTTATTTTTGACTGCCTGGAAAAAATGGAAGAAACAACACTTATCTTTATTGTAAGCTTTTTAAAATACTTATAAGTATTCTTTGCTCCCAGGTAACCATGAAGGCTATGCATGCTTAACTGTATATACATCAGAAAAAATTATTTTCCTTGAAGTGTTAAGAACACTGTAAGTTACAGAAATTGTTCTTATCTTTCATTTAGTTTCTCCTTCTCTTCCTCTGAGTTGTTACAAGTTAGATTGAAAGCATCTTTACCTGCAATGGATGGTTATTGTTTCTATACCTAAAAAAAGCACATCTAAAGCACAATATGTTTAATTGCATGTGACTTGTTTATAAGTCAAATATTTCTGGGGCAATATTTTTCACTTAGTACTGGTGTATTAAAGGAATTGTGTGTTGGAGTCTTTTTGTCCTTTTTGTTTTTTTTTTTTAAATACATAGGTAAAGATAGAGTTTTCAACACCCCTTTGTGTGAACAAGGAATCGTTGGCTTTGGTATTGGAATTGCTGTCGCAGGTGCTACAGCCATTGCAGAAATTCAGTTTGCAGATTACATTTTTCCAGCTTTTGATCAGGTTAGTATAAATAAATTTGAAAGAGGTTAAAAGAAATCTTATGACTGTTTAAATTATTCTTCTGTTAGCATTAGTACTTGGTTTGATTATGTAATTTTTGCAAGTATATCCACAGTTGCATTACTAATGTTTATGCATACTTTAAGTAAACAGGAGTAAACTGCAAACAGTATCAGTACTGTACTGACTGTACCAAGACCAGTTTGAAGGCTTAATAAGTAATGGAAATTAAAGATGTTGTTTGAAGCAAATGCCTCTCTGTTTGTTTTGATTTTTGCTTTTGTGACTGTGTTGGCTTCAGCAGCCTTAAATTCATCAGCTGTGTCTTCCCAACACAATTTCTCATTTCTACATTCAGCTGCAGCTGGCCATATATCCACAGGACAAACTACAGATTTGAACTGGGGTGACTGACAGTATGCAATGAGGAAACAACTGAGTTATAAGGCTACCCTCGAGGCTTAGGCATCTAACTTGAATGCACTAAATTATTGTTTCATTTGCCTTGAAAAATTTTTGTCTTTGCACTGGCTTACAGTATTTCTTTGCTTCTAATTTGGTCCTCTGAATCCCGTGCATGGTGCAGATGATGTAGTTACATCCCATGTATTGAAGTGACTTAATGATGCATAACTAAAGGTATTGGACTGAATGTTACTTTTGTATATAAATCTTCCCAGATTGTTAATGAAGCAGCAAAATACCGTTACCGCTCTGGAGATCTATTTAATTGTGGAAACCTCACCATCAGAGCACCCTGGGGCTGTGTGGGTCATGGTGCACTATATCACTCTCAAAGTCCAGAAGCCTTTTTTGCTCATTGTCCAGGAATAAAGGTACAGTAACTCTTATTTTATGAAGATGAATTTTATTTGTTTGTTTTGTAATGGACTGGACTAACAAAGAGTCTAGATGCAGGCAGGGGAAGAAAGGATGTTAGCAAAATATCTGAATATGTTAATTAAAAACTATTAGAAGTTTTCAGTTTATAAAACTTAAACTGTGTTAAGTGTTTGAGAATTTTTAGCCATTATTGAAGCAATCTTAGGTAGACATAGCGTTTTTTACTTGTCTGCTTTTTGCACTAAAAACATACATTTTACACTTTTGTGTGTCCAGTATAGTACAGAACCTAAAAACTTTAATAAGTAGTACTTTCTTTTTTTTCCTTTCTGTATCTGTCTTAAGTGCATAATTGAATTAATTTATATAAATGACAGTGCCAGGCAGTGGGCAGAAACTGAAACACAAGAGGTTCTGTCTGAACATGAGGAAGCACTTGGCACAACTTGGCCAGAGAGATTGAGAAGTCTCCATTCTTGGAGGCATTCAGAAGTTGTCTGCGCATGGTTCTAGGCAACTGGCTCTGGATGGCTCTGCTTGAGCAAGGGTGTTGAACCAAATGATCTCTGGAAGTCCCTGCCAACCTCAACTGGTTGGTGATTCTCTGAGTGATAACTTTAGGCAAGCTTTCCACATGAGGTGGTGGCATTCCTCGAAGCCAAGTTTGCTAATGATTAGAGAAGAGGGAGCTGCAGGATCTAGTCATCTCAGATTAAGAGAGCACTTTTTGCCAGCTCTCCATTTTTTTCTGACTAAACTTTTGTCTATAAACTTGTACTTCTGGGTTAGCTGGCATCCAGACCATTGAACAATGACTCATAGCTGATTAGTGTGGAAGACTTAAGCAGAACTGGTATTTGCATGCTAAAGACACATGTTCATTGTTTATCTGTTGTTTAAACTGTTGACCATGTATGATTTTGGTATTCTAAATCTTCAGATATAACTCATCAACAGGGAGACCATAGCCATTTCTCCTTCTTGTTTGTCTTTACTTAAATACAATCCTTTATATTGTTCACATTTTATTTCATGATATTTGAGGAATGAGGATACATTTTTGTCTCTGGGTGTTCTTTATGATATTTGAGGTGTTCCTATTCTGAACTTGAAAGTATTTCCTAATACAGGCAAAAGCAATCTCCAAAATCTTTTGCGAGGTAATTGAATCAAATGGTTTCTTGATCTTGTTTATAAACTAAAGTAGTTTCTTATCATATGAAAGCACAAGATAACTTACATGATTAAAATACTGATGCCAGGTCTATATTTCTACTGATCTTGTTGGTCAATCTCAAATTTTTATATACTGAACCAAGTGCTGAAGTTTAGTGGTCCACTCAGGTGATTAAAACTCTTTCTAATTTTGGTACTACCTAGACCGGTGCATAGTCTTCTCGATAAGTTAATAAGTCAAAATTTTATTTAGTCATGCTGCGTAACATAAGTTCTTTGCTCCCACCTCTGATATTTCTTCTTATTGGTTTTTCACTTCCTTTCACTTCCTTTCACTTTTCCTTGGGTAAAGTGCTAAAATAGATTGCTACCACTAAGAGCTGTCATCTCAGTTGAAGATAAAGGGCACATTAATTGGGTGGAACTGATGGAACAATATACTAGTTTCTGGTGCACAGAGAAGTATTTTAGACTCCATCTTTTGAATATTGTTGCTTTGTGAAAACAGTGTTGTCGCTTTAATATTTTTTGCAAAGCTGTTTGTTAATGCAATTATAATATTTCAAGATTGCAGATATTTTTAAATGAACCCAAACCTAGCCTTTAACACGGGAATCAAGAAGTGCACATGAACTTGTGGTTCAGATGCATTCTCAAACATCCTGTGTCTATGCGTATTTTCTCCATTATTACAGAAGGAAAGGCGATGTCTTACAAGCTGAGAAGGGTAGGGTTTGACCATTGGGAGAGTAGTCTTCGTAACCATCCTCTTACTAAACTCTGTGGAAGGTTTTTGCCCTTCTATTTTGTGTTTTTCTTAAGTGGCAGGTGAGATTTGGATTTCCCAAGCCAACGGGAGTTTGTACAACTTTGGCTATTCAGGGGAAGAACTTGTCATGGTTTGAGATAGTCCCAAAATCCAATCCCCTAGCTCCATTCCCTCTCCCACATCTCAACCTAATGTGAGATGGGTTTTTCCAGACAAAACACACCAGACTCAAAGTGGGGGAAAGGGAATATATTACAATGACTGTACAAATAAATACCATATCACATTATACACATGATCACAAACTATCTCTACCATGACATATGTATTTACAATGGATCAGATCTCTTCTCCCCTCCAAATAAAAGTCCAGGAGGGAAAGAAGGACAGATCCCTTCCAGTCCTTAAGCAGCAGCATCTTCTGAGGCAGCAGTCTGTCTGTCTTCTCCACATGCAGCAGCTGATAGCTGGCTTTCTGCCAGCACTCACGAGGGAGGTATCCAAGCCTCTCTCGGCCCCATCGCCTCCAACCGAGGGGTCTTCCGTGGGCTTCGTAACCCCAGACAAGGTCGTATCACCACGTCATATCACGAAGACACAGGGGGGTCTTCGTGACGGTCTGGTATCTCCAGGAGACTCAGCTCCTTGCAGGGCCTCTGTGCCCTGTCTCTCAGGCTGCCACCGTGGCAGCAGTGCAAGGGGGGGGAGCCAAGGTCAACTCCCCCCGCATTCCTCTGGCCGTCCCGGTCCAGCTCCGGGACGCTCTGAGCTTCTCAGCTCCTCTCTCTCTCCGGTGCTGCATGTCTAAAACTCTTCTCCTTAATAGGAGTCCATCTCCCTCTTCTCCAAGAGGGGTCTCAAGGGAGTTTTAGGGGATCTGGTACAGTCTTACCCCCAGAACTCTGTCTCTCAGGCTGCTGGCTCTCTTTCTCCCGGCTCTCCTTCCAGGAGTCCTTTCTCTGGTGCTGCATGTTGCTTCTGCTGCTCCTTCAGTTCAGGTCCTTATCTCCTGTCTGGCTCTCTGCCACCGTTTCTCTGGTGCTTGCCGGCTGCTGCTCTGCGCCCATGGAGAAAACATCTCCCGGCATAACTACAGGCACCTAGCCCAGCTTTATGCTGTTCCAGGTCCCCGCAGCTCCCAGCCAGGGGCTGGGAGGCCCCAGAGGGCCCAAGGGGCTCAGAGCCCCTTCCTCGTGGCTCACAACATGGCCACCTCTCCTGCAACCAAAACTACAACTCATCTCTTCCGGTGAGCTTGTGATATGTTTACATTTTTGCAGGAGCGCCCATTGGGCAGAACTTCAAAACTTCCAGGGGTTTCCACCCCTTGGGGTCTACCACTTTTCTAGCCTCTGGGGGAAAACAAAATCCAAACCACGACAAACTGCAGTCATTGGTACTTAGCACAAGTCTTATTGAGGTGGCAGGACACTACTGAATGGTTGTATCTTTTGTCTGCTGTTGTGAGGATGTACTTCTTAATGGATGGAAGATATTAATATTGATTCTCTGCATTCCATTGTAAGAATATTTGCTGTTGTGGCTAGAAGCTTTCTTTTCATTTCCAGCCTAAATTTGTTCCTGACTAACTTATAAGTTTAACGTATCTCTTCTTCACCTTCCCTTTCATATACTAAAACAGTTGTATTCTCTTTAGTCTTCCTTTTGTTAGACTAAACAAATCAAACTACTGAAGTAATGTTAACAATTTCTGGAGCTCTTTTGACATGTGTTTCATTAATTTTTTTTTCCAAAGGGTTGATATAGTCATAAAGTATTCCAGTTAAGTTTCTAGCACTGATTTTTGCAATAGCAAGAAAAGTTCCTTGGCTATGTTATTATGTACTGCATAGTGTCCTAGTTATGCTTTGAGCAGATAATAAATTCAGATCTGAATTTCTGCTGCTGAGTTCTAAATTTATAACAAAAATGTGGTCGTTAAACATGACTTTTCAGTATGTATTTTTCTGTTTGCTATTGTCAGTCATGTCCTCAATGTGAACTGGGTCTTTTTGGTATCATCCTCTGTAGTGGTAGTGACTCCCAGCTTTGGAATAGTTTTCACTACTATGTTCTGACTGAACATCATTAGTGAATAAGGTAAATAAAGTCTGTCCTAAAAATGATCCCTAATGAGCTGTACTAGTAACATCCATGGTTAGTTTCCCATGTGTCTGTTACCACATGCTTTGGTGAAATATGATAGACTGCTTCTCCCTTGTTTAGAAAAATCACTTATCAAGTTAGTTTGATGTAATAGCAGATTTAGATTGTGTTTTGACTCTTTTCTATTACTTTAATATAAATAAATGTTATTACTCTCAAAACATATTTGAAGCCTTGGAAACTCCTGTAGGCAGTAAGTTAACATGACTAGTAAACATGGATTACTTTTTTTTTTTAACAAGAGCTACAACTACTGTTTTCAGTCAGAGAGGGCCACTTCTGACTCCACAGCTATAAAAATGTAGACTTCATGCAGCATGTGTCAGCTCTTTGAAGTCTCTGGGATGTAAATTAGTTGGTTCTTCTGATTTGAGGGAATTGAGCTCTTGAGTTCTACTTTTGTTTAAACAAAATAATGATAATTTGCTAATTTTCTCTTCGTAACTAGCATTCTCTTAGATCATCTGAAATTAACTCCTCTGTTGGCAAATATGTTATACTTTTTTCTTCCAAGTATTCAGATTACATTTGGAGGCTTTACTTAGTTTTCTGTGCTTGATATTTAAGGTATGTATTAGTGTTTGTTCATTTCCAAAATGAACACATTTCAGGCTTCCATCATAAACAAAGAAAGTCAACTTTAAATAGCTGTTTCCTTTTTCAGTCTTCAAAACTTACTGGACTAAGTCTGAAAACCTTCTAGGTCTGTTCTGATGAATCTTTACCCAAGAAACTGAGGATCACTCAGCTGAATTTTTTTAAACATCTACATTAATTTTACTAAGTTTATATATATGTGAATATATATATGAAGTGTTATATATATTTTATATATATTTTAATCTGACTGACTTTCTTCCGTTCCTTTTACCCCAAATGTTGTTGTTAAGATGTTAGTTCTACCTTATCTGAGAGGAGTCCCTTAGTGTTTAAATCAAGGTATAGAGGGGAGCTTTTAAAGCCTCATCAATGAACAAAATAAAATTAAAAATTTAGAATGTGTGTTAACATCAGTGCTGCATTACTAATTCTGTTTGTAAGAACTGCTCAATCTGTACATAAATTCATTTAAAGCAAATAATGGCTTAGTTTTAAGTAGTATTGAGGAAGTTTCTAGTAGAATTTCAATATAAATAAATTATATAAAAATGTTTTTACAGGTTGTTATTCCAAGGAGTCCTCTTCAGGCCAAAGGATTGCTGCTGTCATGCATAGAGGACAAAAATCCATGCATATTTTTTGAACCTAAAATACTTTACAGAGCTGCAGGTAAAGTTTTGTGTATTTTCCAATAAAGCTACTTTTTTTTTTTTTTGCACATATATGTTGATAGTCACTGCTAAAACAATATTTCAACAGAAGTCTTAACTTGTTTGGTCTCTAGCTATGTTGGGCCTTGGGTTTTTAGAGGAATTGTGAAAATCGGATGAGATATCTAAATCTGACTGCAAGGATAAATGAACATTTACAGTCTGATTCATGCTCAATTAACTTTGGAAGTGAAATGCTTTATACAGTCTTGGGTTAAAAAGAAGAAGAAATAGAACTAAGTGGCATTATTCCTTATCAAACTGCAGTATAAATTTGACAGAAATTAAAGTGCTTTCTTGTGATAACTCTAGATACTAAAATAAGTTTCCAGATCAAAGTTTGTTTCCAAAAGAACTGAACCCCACCATCACCATTTTCGCAAAGTGTAGAATTTCTTTGAAATGTGTAATTTCTAAAAATCTTGAAAATCTTCCCACATAGATTTTAATCTTATTTGAAAGGAAATGAGATTACCATTTCTTTTTTCATTTGTTTTAGTCATAGTGAACTTTTTGGTTCAAAGAAGCTTTCACAGCTGTCTTATGTGTAACTTATTGGAACATAGTAAATTGAAGATGATGGTGTTTGAGTTGGTTCTAAAAATTAGCTGGTACTTCTTTAGATCAGAGAAGTTGGACTGAGAACAGAAGATGGATGAAAAATTTTGCATGTGGAGATAGGCAGGGTAATTGGGTGAGCAACTGAGAAAATAGAACTCAAGCCATCACTTAACTTTAGTGTTTCTGTGTCCTATAACTTTATATGCAAACTATGCTGGGATCCATCTATCTAATTTATAAGTTGACTCTGTGTGGCCTGAAGTTGAGTGAAGGACAAAGTGTTTGTATTTTTCTTTTAGCAGCACTTTTCTGTCAGTACATCCATTTTGTTAGTAAATTTATCCTCTTCCTAGAGAAGAGAGACAAAGGATACCAAGGGAAAGATTTAGAAAGCAAACATCAAAGCTACAAAAAAATAGCAATATAGCTTGGGAACAAATAGGATATTTACTGGTGAAACTGCTTATTTGCTTTATATTTTAAAAAAAGACTCAGAAATCTGATTAGCAATATAAATTTAAAAGTGCAGCTATTTTTAGTGTGGTGGGGTGTGATGCACTCAAAGGGTGTTGCATTCCTTAAGTTCAGTGTGTTTTGAGAGCTTACTAAAATTTAGCAAAAAGATTTCCGCCCATTCAATTTAGAGTATTTAATTTGAAAAATGAGCTTGAGTCTGAGTTCTGTTAAGCAAAGAAAAAAATTAAGTGTCTTTAAAACAACCCTTTATTTCTTCCCCTTTCCACCAGTATTTACAAGTCCAAAATACAGACTGTAGAGTTAATAAAATACTTGCTTTCATACTGGCATGAATGGCTGCACATCAATATCACGCAGCTTTTGAGAATAGAGGGAGGTTTTTCTGTTTGAGGAAATGACTTGTAAAGCAATTGCTGGATCATCTAGTGAACATAAATCAGTCTTGTGATTGAAATCTTGAGTAAAGAATGTGGTGAAATACTGGTTAATGTGATTTATGTGCTGGTCAATAACCAGCCACAGCGTTGCTGTTGTGGTAGTTTTCTGAAAGACTGTGATTTCCTCCTAAATTCTGGTGGCCTGATTTTCAGAGACATTACCTACGTATTTTTTGTCTTAAAATATCTAAGAACATCAGTTTAGCTATGTAGGCTGAAATTTATAGTACATTTGTGTCAACATGTGACAGGGATGATTTTAAGAGGTAACTTCTTTTGTATACATGGACATTTTATTGTTTCTACAATGTAAAGTATGAACATTTTATTACGTGAAATGGTTTTTATGTTCCTTTTATTTTCATTGCGAACCTGTCCCTCGGTTTCATTAGTTCATCATCCCAACTGTTAAGCTCTCCTTTTTGGGTCAGCTTGAACTGGAAGATGACTGGTGTCTGGGAGTTCCTCCTATGAAATTAATCTCTATTGGAGTTCATTCTTATGCTGCTGGCCATGGTCAGGGTTTCTTATAATTCCACCATTGAAAGAAAGTGGCCTGGTGGATTCAGAAATGGACCAGGATCATCATGGCATGGTATAGAACTCCACCTAAGATCTGGGACCTCGTTGTTCCAGACAAAAATTAATTTTCTTTATTTCCATTATGATGGCCAAGCATTGAATAGTGAAATTGTATTGCCCCTACCATAACATTTCTTTTTGTTCTAGCTTCATGTTGAGTAGATGTGTTTGTTCAGAGAGCTTTGTGATTGATGTTACAGTGGGCGTGTAACATCATTGAAAAAATAAGGTGTCAAAGATGTTAATGGGAAGGAGGATTTTCTATCTGTAAAATTAATGTAGGCTTTTGAGCCTTGTCATTTTCCTCTAATGGAGTTTTCTTTCTCCTTATGAGGTCTTTAAGCATTTGTCTAAGAATTTTCTTTTTAGAGTTGTTAATATATTCGGAATTATATATAATACAGCTGAAAATAGGGTGTAGGTGGGGTAGTCTTTAAAACACAGGATACCTGTCCTTATTCATGTTGGCTGAAGCTAATAATGCTTTGTTTAAAACAAACAAAAAAATCAAACCAAACCAAACAAAAAATGACAAAAATCCCACATCCACTACATCCCAACCACCACAAAACTATGTGGTGTTGCTATTATTGTAATTAGATGTTGAATGCCAGCGATAGAAGGTCATATATATCTAGCTTAGGATGTATAGCCTGAAGTTGCATCTCCAGAATGTTAAGCAGGATGCCAGGTCATTGCTGTTTTATATAAGGTCTTGTGCAGAACCAGCCTTGTGATTTTGCATCTGATGCATACCTCCAAGGAGCTATATAGGCCCACTAATTGCTTTCATTTTTTTGTTTGTTTTTGTTTGTTTGGGTTTTTTATTTTGCTTGCTGGTGACAGGGCAGGTTTTGCAACATTCAAGCATAGCTTTTTTTCCCCCATAACAGTAAAGACATTGTACAAAAGAGAAAAGAATCTTCAAAAGTGTTTTGAATTATAAGTCTGGTCTCCAAGGTAAATCAGAGCTGTAGGACAAAATATTTCAGTGCAACTATCACATGGAAAGTGTGATTGCTTGCTATATTTTTGGAATAATGAGATTAGCCGAATGTCTTCACAAATGAACACAAATTTGCCTATTCAAATATGTTGTATGCTTGTTCAGACATGTGGTAAAACTAACCATGTTAGTAAATGAACATTAATTTCTATATGAATATTTGCTGTCCAAACATGCCTTTGCCCACAAAAGATACAAGAGTAAATACAGACCTTTAGTCTTCACCTTAGTCATTCTTGTGGATCCCAGGTGAATATCAAAGTAGCATTGCCTTAAGTTCACCATATTCACACTGTGATGAACCAAGAAGAAAAAGCAAATTCCAAAGTGAAGGACAACTTTGCAAGAACGTTTCAGAAATGTTTTCCAGTTCATTCAAAAAATAACTCACACCTTAAATATCCAAGAGCCGTGACAACACCAAAGGGAGGTAATGGGCTTAAAGCTAAGATCAAAGAATCATAAAATAGTGTTGGTTGCAAATGACCTTTAAAGGTCATCCAGTCCAACCCCCACTGCAATGAGCAGGGACATCTTCAACTAGATCAGCTTGTTTCAAACCCTGTCCAACCTGACCTTGAGTGTTTCCAGGGATGGGGCATCCATAGCTTCTCTTGGCAACCTGTTCCAGTGTTTCACCACCATCATTGTAAAAAACTTATATCTAATCTAAACTGACCTTTACCCCTCATCCTGTCACAGCAGACCCTGCTAAAAAGTCTGTGTCCAACTATTTTATAAGCCCCCTTTCAGTACTGAAAGACCGCAGTGAATTTCCCTGGAGCTTTCTCTTCTCCGGGTTGAACAATCCCAACTCTGTCAGCCTGTCTTCACTGGAGAGGTGCTCCAGCCCTCTGATCATCTTCATGGCACTCCTCTGGACCTGCTGCAATAGCTCTATGTGTTTCCTGTGCAGACAACCCCAGAGCTGAATCTTAAACTTTGCCTGGGTATCTGTTAATAGTAAATTTTAGAAGTTACAGAAGAGCACTATTTTGTTTGAATGAAATACAATTGATAAGTTTCATATTATGCATTAGCTCTAGTGTGCAAACAAGTTGAAATAGTCTCCATATACAGATACATGATTTTATGTATAGGTGTACATATATTGTTATCTATGTGAATATATGTATAAGTAGCTATATATGTATGTAAGACTTATATCACAAAGCAGTAGCTAGATCAGAAAAGAAAAAGAAGTATATTTACCATGCATAGTTGTAGCTAGTAACTGCAGATTTGTACTTCCCATACTGTGAAGCAGGACAGTGCTGCATTTGTGGTTAAGCCCATGTGCCTATTTCTCTAACACAGTCACCCACTTTGCTAGCAGTTTGTTTAGCAGAGGATTTACTGTTCCTCAGTGTACCTGGGCTCTTTGGAGTGCTCATTGTTACTCTTTGTTGACTTCCCTGGACACTTATGGCAGTGTCACCCCAACTTGGTTGTACATATGTGGAGTGGGAATGACAATGAGTGTCCCCCAGATGGCTCTTTAGCTTTCAAAACTCTTGAGTGAAGGATCTTAGCCAGTCTAGCAACCCTTTGTGGTTCCCACAGGACCTGGTAACTCGTGTTTGGGCCACATGTTATTCCCAGCAGCTGGTGGCCAGGGCCCCTACTTGCTCCTGTTGGTCACACCACAGGCTCAGGGTTTCTGCACCCTGGTTTGTTTCCACTTGCTGGCCCAGTGTCTTGTCTTCTCATATTTGTCTCACCAGCAGCTGCTACTTAGTCCTTGCAGCACACTGTCCTTGCACTGGACAGGATTTCCAAAGAAGCTGGGACTGACCACCGTGATGAGGCACAGGGCTCAGTCAGACAAATGTGCTGACCAGCCCTGTTTATGTGCAATTGACCCCTTCTATAACCCTTTCTGTTTCTTCCCCATTTTGCTCCTTGTCCACCCCATTCACCTTCTTATGCCCTCATCAGCTGGTCTAGTTCCACACTTGCTCCAATTCCCTGGACCCTCAGGTTTGCATGCTTATCAGTTGCAAGTTCCTGGTATGCCCATTGTTTCTCGATAGTCCTTCACTGAGTGTTCCTGACCAAATTTGTTTCTTGTCTTTGCTGTGTTTATTTTCAAGTTTGTGTCTTTATATTTTGTTTAGAGCTTCTTCTTTTTCTTTATCATCCTGTTTGGCAAGGTCCTCATAAGATAGTTTTACTGAAAGAAACACTCCCATATTCCTCATACCCTTATCAGTAAGTGGGACTGAGCAGGTTTGGCTCTCCTAACTGCCACCCTCATCCTTTGGTGGTTAGGTTTGTGTCCCTGTGTGTTCTTCCTTATGGCTTCTTCCTCTTCCTCTATACCCTTTTGCATTAAAAAGTTCCTTGTCCAGACACCCTTAAAGGAACAGATGCTATCTTCTTCCACATCACCATACAAGTGTTCTTCAGAAGTTTTGTGTATGTTAGTTGTCCTTCAATAATATTAGAAAGGAGAAAAGAAACGTAAGCCTTTCTGGGTAAAAATAGAGAGTTAAGTATGCAAGTACACATATATAGAGAGAATTCTGTTGCTATTTAACTTACGACATAATGATGTTATTGAAAGTGCTGTAGTGACGTCCCCGTAAATGTCAGAGATACTAAGAAAATATCTGAATTAAAAAGGAAAAGGAGGCTTTGATTTATGAAAAGTAGTTAACAGCCTGTGCAGTGTCAAGAGCACATAATGGTTGTGAATCAAAGGAGAAGATGAGTCACCTTGACATTATCAGGTTTAGACATCTTGTGGAGAACCTACTCTAATGTTTTTTGACCTTTTCAGTTTCATTTAATTGTACTATATATGACATTGGTGGCGTAGAAATAAATACGACTTGCATCACTGGTTGTTATAGAGACAAGACAGGTAAGATGAGAAAATGTGTTTTCTTTTGCTGTTCAGACTGCTCCTTTAGAAAAACCAACAGATGTTGGAGCCTCTTAAAATTAATGCGATGGCCCTTTTTTGCTGATAATTACAACTTTTTATTAGTTGCTCTATTTGAAACATGACTCAAAATACTTTATTTCTTCAGTAATAGGTGATTGGGCTGCTTTGTATGTAAACATTGTCATCCTGGTTTAGATAGTTATTATGAAAGAATATTCATAGAATAGTTTCATATGCTCCTTTTCATCATTATTAGTGGGGAGAGGAGTTTTTGCAAAGGCATATAAAGAAAATCCTACCAAATCTGGACCTCCCTATAAATTTTTGACTAAGCTGAATTTTACATTTAAAATTGTCAGGAATTATAGATGAGCTCATCTAATGGACATGTTGCAGAACGGTTTAGCTATCATAAGAAACTCGTTAATTTGTGTAATTTTATGTTATCTTTAATTTTCCTGAGTGGATAGAACCATTACACAGAGAAAAAGCTCTTTTTTGTATCATGTACACCTTCCAGTTCTTCCTCTTGTGCATCCCACTGACTTCAAAACCTTTTCCTTCATGTCAGTTGCCTGGGTTTTCATTCAGGGGTCCCATCGCATATTTTTAAGTTTCTTGTTCTCCAGGTTTCATGTAGATGACCATCTCATGACAAAGACAGTTATGCAAAGCCAATTAGTACAGTCATGGGTTTTGTTATCTTTCAGAACCTCTTTCTTTTGCCTGGGGTTTTACCATGTGCGAAATCCATAGAAACCTGGTTTGCTTTACTGACAACCAGTAAAATGCAGTGAGCAAGGGCTAGATGTGCCTTTCTTCTCTTTCTTTCCCAGCCCTATATTCATTTAGCCACTTGTTATTCAAAGAAATTAATGCAGAAAGACACTGATATTTTAGTACATTAAAATTGTTTGCAAATAGATCTGGTTTTTTGCTATATTGAAAAACACCTTGTGTTTAAAATACATTTTAAAATTATTTTTCTTTGATTAAATGAACATATGTTGTTGAATTATGCTGAAAAAGAATTTCCTGTTATATTTTTAGAAAGATTGATTTAGTTAACATGTATGTCCCTTCTGTGCCTGTTCAGGTAAAGTGAGATATCTCTAACGTAAGCATAGACAAAAACATTTTTACTGTGAGGGTGATCAAATACAGGAACAGGCTGCCCAGAGAAGATGTGGAGTCTCTGACCATGGAAATACTCAAAACCTAACTGGACGTGGCCCTGAATGACCGGTGCCGTTGCTCTGAGCAGAGGGCTTGGCCTAGGTGACCTCCAGAGGTCACTTCGTACCTCAGCCCTTCTGTGCTTCTCTGAAATATGTGATATTTATATATCGTTACTGACAAGGAAAAAAAAAATCATCTGCTGTAATTAAAAAAAAATAAAATTCCTATTTCATAGAGAAGACAAGATGCCTAATTTTTGCCTACTCTCTCTAATTTTGATCTATTTTTGGTGAATAGATAACCTTTTTTTAAAGTAAAAATGTTTTGACTAATTTAAAATTGCTATAATGAGAAGTTTTTGCTGACCCTTTATGTGTAGGTTCTGAAAATTTTTCCCTAAATTTAAACTTAAAAATGTGGAGCATTGTTCTTGGCAGATATCAGGAGGGTGCTGGCACAGCTGTTCCTTTGTTCCTTCTTGTCTGAGTATTGAAGTATAATTTCAAGACTGTCTTGATGATTATTAGAATTTACTGCACTGGTTATTTGACATTTTTTTATCAAAAGTAACAGTGTCATCTCCAAATCTGATGCTGATATTTTGACTTGTTATACACCAGGACTTATTACTGTCTTTTGTATGTGTATATATGCATCTTATTGTGGTATATAACATGAGTTAAACTCTACAGTGAATGTATTGTTAACAGTGTAATTTAAAATAATTTGAATTACAACTAAACCTTTGAAATGAATGCTAATACTTAATGTTATTTTGATCTATTTTTTTAGATGGCAGTAACACTGAAGAAAATTTTTAGTGTATGTTTTTATGGGGTAATATTGAACACTAGAGGAATCTAATGCTTATTTTCCTCTTTTTTAAAAAATTTATTCAGTGGAACAAGTTCCTGTGGAGCCCTACAACATTCCACTGTCTCAAGCTGAGGTGCTCCAGACGGGCAGTGATGTGACAATGGTTGCTTGGGGCACACAGGTTGGTAACGCTCTTACAACCTATTTGTCACCCAGCAAAGCCTAGGCCATGGGTCAGGTGATGTTTGAATTCAAGCTCACCTGCCAGACAATAAACTGCATGCATCTTCCATCACTTTATGCTTGAATAAATGTTTATCAGTGTTTGTAGTTATATGAAACTTGCTTTTTATTGTGCAAGTTATTAGTTTGCTTGAAGATGACTCTGGAAATGTGGGAGAGAGCCTGTGCAGGAGGTTAATGATTTGTCTATGATTATGAAAGTGACAGATTTAAGAATGGGGCAGTGAGATGTGACTCTGAGGAAGGTGGTGGGAAAGTTCAAAATAGTATGCCGAAGGAAAAGTATAGATTTTTACTGCAAGATTTAAAAAAGTGCAGTCTGGGGTTCCCTTTACACAGAGTTAAAAATTCACTGAACATGTAATACAAATAGGGATTGCTATAGTTTTGATTCTAACAGTTACATTTCAAAGCTGTTCAGGAACATGATTGGACACATACAAACATTGCCAAATTAAGATGTGCAAATATTGAAAAATCTGGTAAGAAAATACACTTTTATTTTCCAGAAATATAGAAAAGAGAAACTTCAGTATAGTTTGGAATTTCTAGAATTTGCTGTTTTCTTGGCCTGATTGTATTTGAGAAGCTTTTAGAGGCGAGAGCGTTAAACTTTCATCACAAGAATATTGAATTGATCTCTAGGGTTGTACCTTCTTATTGTCGGTTTCTTTGTTGTTTGTTTTTTGTTTGGCTTTTGTTTGAAATTTGTAATCTTCCGTGCTTTTCTGTGGTAGTTTCCTTGTCCTCAGACTACTTGATCTTCTTTATATCTGTGGTTATTCCTATTAACTTCTGATACTTTGCACTAGTATTAAATTGTGGACTTCTTAAATATCTTTACTTGTATCATTTCTCTCAATTGGATATTGATGAAATAGTGGTTTGGAAGCTGGCTATGGAGATTTAATAATATCCTTGATTTATGCCATAGGCAGTAGTGCAGAGAGGACTTGGAGTAACACCCTTCAAGAAATCTCTGTACTTTGGTTCTTGGAAAAAGTTAAGACAGGCATTTCTTTTGATGTGAATAGTAATAGGGCAGATGTGCAGCCCTAATACAGATTTAGGAGCTGACCAAACCATGGGTGTGGCTGTGTAATACAGCATGGGGACAGATGTTTCACACATATGCAGTAAATCCAGCATGTTCTGGATGTGCCAGGGTTATGCAGGTCAAATATGTTCAGTGAGTTTGTGCAGAGAATGTTTGTGGGTTGTGTACCTAAACTTTGATTGCTAATTGTGCTACCAATCCTACACTTACAGTCAGTAGGCAGAGTGATTGCACATACTCCCCTTATGCAAGCTTTCCTGGGTGATGCTAATGAAGGACAGCAAAGGCTTTTAGTTCCTCTCCAGTTATGCTCAGTCTTTTATTGTCTTTAGCTAATCCTTATCCTCTGTGAGCTAGGTAAGTGTTTTCCCTTTTGCATCAGAGAAATGGCAAAAATATCCATCCCATGTACCATATTGAACATTCTCAAACATTCTTCTTACAGCTACAGACGTATTAGAAGTTTAAACAAAAATACTGCAAGCTATATTTCCTTTCTATTATTACAATACTTCTATTGATATACCTTTTAAAACAGTTCTTTGGCGTTTAGCTGTTCATATTTGCATGATGTAGTTGTGTGTTTAAATCCTTAATCATCTTGTTTCTGCGTATATTTTTTACCCCGTGTAGAATTTATTAATGCTCTCTGACCCTCAGGCAACTGATATGGCCTGACCATGTCGATGTTGTTAAATTCTGTTGCCTTGATCTTGAGATCAAGATGACCTTATCCAAATTGCTTGTTGGGGATGGTGTTTGGCCTCCAACCCCTTACTATGTCTAGAAATTGCTTGATCGAGGTCATCTGCCACAGTCCAAAACCTGTATTATGAAACGTTCGAACAATAAAGAGAGACCCAGAGTTTATTGGCAGCATCATATCTAGAAATTTTTTTATCTTCATATCTCATAAGTAAATACTTCGTGCTGAGATATTTGTGGAGGATTATCTGAGTTGTTGTCGTAACAGTTGTTATTTTCCATGTTGGAGCATTTGCTTGCGAATATTTGTTTTAGGGAAGCCAGTGCTTGAAACACTTTTTATTTAAGTGTTTTATAACATAATGTCAAGATACAATTTTGAAGGTATGTAGTATTGCCTTCATTTCCACTCTTATACCTTATGAAAAGGATGGTAATAGATGTGGATTGTTTGACATCTACTGTGACGCAGTTACATATGCTACTGAATAGATTCCTTGACTGGTGGAGGGTGAATAATCTGTATTCCGGTTCAGTAATAGCCTCTCGCTAGAGGGGAATACTTTTTTGTTTTAGTAAAGTGTTAATTACAGTAATCAGATAATGCAATGTTTGTTATGGTGGTATTAAACTGTTTGCTGGAAGACCAGTAAATTGTTATATTATCATACTAATGCCCATAGCCTGTGATTGTGGGGGTCAGGACTGGATATTTACAGGTAACTTTATGTGGTGTTTACTTTCTCTCCTAGCCGTTTGTAAGATAATGCTTTGGAAATGATCAGTCAGTTATCTGTTTCAGTGTTGTGATAAGTGTAGTTACTGGGACTACTGGAACTGTCTCTCGGCTTTGTGGCAGAGATCAAATATAGTGCAGTGTAGAATTTTTGAATGTAGGTAATGCTTCCTGCAGGATTGCTTGTGACTGCTGCATCAAAATGCATTACTCTGAAGTATTTGGGTCTTAGCTTAGTTACAGTCCTAATAAAAAACTTCTAAAACTTATTCAAACTAACTACAAATATAAAACAGTGAGGCCTGATACTCTTCACTGAAAGATACTTTTCTAGAAAGCAAGAGTTTTGTTCTCAGTGATTCTTTGGTGAAGTTAGTTTTTGAAGTGATGCTAAAATACTAGGAATAATGTAAGTAGTAAATAAGAATGAACTGAGTAATAAATGGTTTTTACTGAAGAGAAAGGTCTCTGCTCAACATGCAGATGATATAATCACTGCTTGAATATGCATAATTTAGAACAACTTAAACAGAATTTACATGTTTATTTGGTGATAATACATTGCTTTTTCAGGTACATGTGATCAAAGAGGTGGCAGCAATGGCTCAAGAAAAACTTGGTGTGTCCTGTGAAGTTATTGATCTGAGGACCATCTTACCCTGGGATACAGAGACCATTTGCAAGGTAAGGAAATGGTGCACGTTAATTTAAAACCACAACAAGCCTAAGCTTTTTTTAAAGACCTACATTTTTTTGCTTTGTATTATGTATATTGTTCTGTATCATATATGCAGCATAAATGCACATTACATGGACCAAACATTGTTTCAGGATTCAAAATATTGTCAGAATTCATGTTCTTTGCATTGAAACAGAGGGCTGGATTTAATCAGACTTCTACTTGAAAACTTCTTTTCCACGATTTCTGACTCTCTGTGTTATCTTTGCCGTCTTTAGGTCTGAAAAGATCAGGAGAAATCTTTATCTTTTTTTCCTGCTGTTTTAGTCTAAGACCTTTATCTAGTTTTAGATGTGCAATAATGTGCCTTGGTTTTGTTTGTCTGTATTTCTAGAAATAAATGTTCTGATTTAAGATATGTGAATACTTGGGTTTGGGAGAAAAGGCAGCATTCTCAGACTATCTAGTTTGAAATTCATGAGTACTGTGAAGTCCTTGACTTCTTGTGGAATTCTTTGATTTTGCAAAGACTTTAAAAACACTGGGCAGCTGAAACTGGAATTTGAATTCCCATATACTGCGAAACCACGGGAAATGGTTATTGTACTTACACATACCTTGGTCTACTTACCTCTTTCTTCCCTCCTGCATACTGTTTTCTCTTCAGTAGCTAAGAGCTTTTGGGAGGAAAGACCTTGAATTAAATGGAAGGGAAAGTATTTTCCAAAGGTTTTTGTAAATGTAGGTAAGAATCCAAAGGCACACTTTTAAAAGTGTCATTTGTCAAAATTAAAAAAAAACTAACCCACACTAAAACCCACCAAAGAAATTTGAGGCCATTAGAACAGAACTTTATTGGGGAAAACTTGATTTTTCCTCTCCCAATGATTATCTTTTTTCGCATTGTCCTGATTTAGCAATTTGGACATTATTTTCAGTTTCTGTAATCTTTTTCCTTCATTTTTCACCTAACTGTTTGGTGAGGTACTTTTAACATTACAAATACATTAATAAACTTAGATTCTGCAAATTAAATGTTAGTATTGTTAGTCATGAAAATTAGTCTTATGTCTCTTCCATGAAACCATGTTTTGTCAAGCTACTTGAGAAATGAGAGAAGAACTACTACCTGAGTGCCATCCAGCAGTACCAATGCTGATGAACATGCTTTTGGACTGTAATGCTCTGAAAGGTTCTGCAGGTGCTTTTCTTTCTGCATTATTTACAGCATTAACAATTAAAGCATAGCCAAAGGTTTATGCCTCAGTTTGCAGTAATGGCTCCCTTGGTGTAAACTTGGACAAGGTGTGTGATTAGCACGCTAGAGCTGTGAGCTTCCTGCAGGACCCTGGCTATCAACTTGTTGAGTCCTTATTCAGTCTCTGTACACTAGCTCATTTTGTGCTGCTGAACAAATCACTCAGAAAACTGACAGATGTCTGCAGCTTTGTTAACTCAGGCCTAGTAACTGTAGTGTACTGAGTTAAGATAACCATAGGGATGAGAAGAGCCATGGGATTGAAAAAGGTGTGTGATTCCATCAAGTACTTTCTCTGCCTGCAGTTTCTAATTTAAGGCATAATGGTATCATATCTACAGCTAACTCAGATTGTAGAGATATTTAAATGGGGCAGGTCACACACACCTCCTTATCTGACTCTCTCTATGTACTTGGAATGCCTTAATTGTGTAGACAAGTGTTTTGTTATTCTGTGGTTGCTCAGTAAGGGCCTTGCTTTTGGTCGGGTAAAGCATAAAGATATTAAGTGTAAAAAAGGGAAAGATGAGCCATTGATCTGCTACTCTGAGGCAAACCTTGTATTTCTCCACAGTTATAATTACCTGAGGGACTGGGAGGAGCAGATTATGGGAGGAAAGATCCATGTTGGAAATCTGCGATCGACAGTGTCCTGCTGCCCGGTTGTGGATGTGTAACAAGTTGTGTACTTGCATGTATAGCTATGAGTTGCTTCATATAAATTTGCTCTTCTCAGTTGAAGTGTTTTCCTTGTTTGTTTGAAGTGTGTTTCACGTTACCTGGATGTACTTTCTAGCTGTAAAAAATGAGATGTGTTGATTTAGTCATCAATATGAAGAGAAACTTTGGCTGTAATAAATCCTTTACAACCTCTTCTGGAAAAGTAAAATAATTCAATTTTTTTAGCTAAATTTTTTTCCTTCTTTAAAGATTTGAGTTGTCATTCTTTGAAAACAAAGCATCTCTTTGAATTAGCAGTTAAGTCTGTTTTGTTTGGTTAAAACTGCACTGAAATGCTGTCAGGAAGAAATGGAGCTGTGCATAGGAAGTACAGAGCTTTAGCTGTACAATATTTTGCAAATATGTTCTTTAAAAATAGATGCTTCATGAAGATTTTCAGCTCCTGTTCCATTCTAGACATCTTTTAAGGTAGCTGTAGCGTAAGTAAAAAGATCACAGAGTCATAGAGTGGTTTGGGTCAGAATGGGCTTTAAAGATATGTAGTTTCAACCCCTCTGCCATGGACAGGGACACCTTTCGCTAGACCAGGTTGCTCAGAGCCCCATCCAGCATGGCTTTGAACACTTCCAGGGATGGGGCATCCACAACATCTCTGTGCAACCTCTTCCAGTGATTCACCGCTCTCACAGTAAAGATTTTTTCTGTTATCTAATCTAAATCTACTCTCTTTCAGCGTGAAGCCATTCCCCCTTGTCCTATGAGTACATGCCCTTGTAAAAAGTCTCTCTCCATCTTTCTTGTACACTCCCTGTAGGTACTGGAAGGCCACAATTTGGTCACCCAAAACCTTCTCTTTCTCAGACTTGAACAATCCCAATTCTCTTAGTCTATCCTCATGGGAGAGGTGCTCTATCCCTTTAAAAGATGGAACAGATGGACCTGTGGCTTTAAATCTGTTTACCATTAAGAGGGTTGTTTCAAGAAAAGTACAGTGCACATTGGCTAGGCAGTTCAGCTGTTTATTATAATAAATACCAAATAGTAAATGTTTTTAGCATTGCTCTTATGTTAGTTTGGCTGCAGACTGGTCAGTCTGATGGGAGAAATGTTAAATTCTCTTCTTCTGTAGATCTTGTCTGTTTTGCTCAGCTGAAAATAATTAGTGGTTTGCATTTGTGCATTAGTTGGTTACATTATGCAACACTGAAAACTTTTTAACTTAATTTGCATTCTGGACAGCTTTTAAGGTAATTGCCAATGTAAACAGAAGGTTGGAAACTACAGTTCTAGGTGCTTGTTGTTGCCTCATCCCAAGAGGAATTGCTTGTGTCAGCTGTTGCAGTTGACAGTGGCTTACAAGTGGCTTACAAGTTTGTGTGATGGGACTTGTTATTCCCTTCCTGAGATGCCAGTGTCAGGGACCAAGAGAGCAGCTGAAAAGTTGGCTGTGCCAGAGGAAGTCCTCAGCTGTCTGTTGGTCTGCTTATGTTCTCTTTGCGGGCTCTTAAATGAAAATGGAATTGCTTTTACTCCAGTCCAACGTATAGGCAAATATAACCTGTTACAGGCTGCCCTTTGCCTCAGGCTATTACTTGCGTCAGTCTCCATAAACGTTTTTGTTTTACCTTGTTGTATGTCTGTATTTGAAATACGTCCAGTGTCTCTTTGTTGTGTTGGATGCAGAGGAAAAGGATGGTGCATGTGTTACACTGCAACCTTATTGCTCTTCTGCTGGTGCTGGGATGCATGGTCCTTGGCTGATGGGAGTCTGTGTGGTGTTGGAGAGCAGGACTTTGGGTTTGGCTATAAAAACACGTCCCTCTGTTTTACTGCTGGGAGGGGTTGTCCTTTATGATCAGTAAAGGCTGTTATTTTAGTCTTACTTAGCTGGAAATATATGCAGCTTTAAGACTAATTTGACAACTGCTGTAGACGTGCAGAAGGGTAGGTTGAAATTGTTAGTGCTTTGGAGGTGAGGAGTCATATGTCAGAATTTTCATGGCAAACCTAACTGCTTAATCTGCTTTCTGTAGCTTTTTCTATAAAATCCATATTTCCTAGAACTATGAACTGTACTTCACAACTGCCACCAGAGGCCTCTTCTCATCAAGTTAAGCATCTGCTTTGACTTTGCATTGCTCCTATGAGCATGTTTATGAATATATAGCTCTGAGTGAAACATAGATAAACATAAAGAATAAATATAGTGAACATAGATAAAATTGCTGCCTAACTTTACTGATATTTTATTTGCATTTTTAAGATTTTGAGATTATGTTCAGTTTTGAAATGGCTTAGCATTTGTCTTCTGCATAAGGAGATGAGGTTGCACCTTCCTGGAGCAGACTACTATGGGCTTTGAATGGATCCCAGGAATAATTGTAACTTTCTTTTTTGCACAATTCCTGAGATTGGTGAATGTGCAAACAGGGGCTAGATTTTTCTTTTGTCAATCTTCAAATGTCTAAGGATGAGTAATGAAGTTTGAGCTACTTACAGTAGCTCATAGAGCTGTTCTAGAGAATGGATATCTCCTGAGGGTCATTCTTCCCAGCTGCTTCAGCAGTCTGGTTTTGGATGAGATAAATTGGCCTCTGGAAATGTCATGGTTTACAAGTTTGATCTTAAAAAAATAAAAAAAAAGGAAGCCCTGACTGAGTGTAATGTAAAGTTAGGTGAGATAAATTGTACCCTCATTGTATAGCTCATAGATGATATCTACTGTTGACATGAGTGGTTGACCTGTTTAAAAAACATATCTGAAATCTCTTTGCTTGGATAAAAAGAAAGAATCTGTGTGTGTTTTATGTATATTTTTATACATTAAAACACATGCTGATCTGTAATCTTTCTAAAGTCTCTTGCAAGAAAAATGGAGTATATTCTACAGGTTGTATATGCTCAGAGCTCTGGTGTATTGCTTCTGAATGAGACATGATGCAATTTCTTGTGCTTTACCCCTAGAGGATTGAAAGCATCAACTCTAAATATGTAGTTGTATAGATCAACATAAAAAGTTGTGTTTTGTGTCAGAAAGTGACACAAGCTTGTTGAGTATGTGCTGCC